GCAAGCTCCTTCTGCATCTAATTTTTAAAAATCTCAATCATACATAAGAACTGTGGGGTTTTTTGTTTATGTGTTTTAAATATGTGTTTTTTTACTTGTAGATAGACACAATATCTTTACTTTATGTATTCATTTTTATGTGGTGCTGAGGATCAAACCCGGGGCCTCGCATGTGCTAGGCGAGAGCTCTACTGCTGAGCCACAACCCCAGCCCAGAACATTTTGGGGTTTTTTGTTGTTGTTGTTGTTTTGTTTTTTGGTACCAGAGATTGAACCCACTGGCACTTGAGCATGGAGCCACACCCCCAGCCCTTTTAAATATTTTATTTAGAGACAGGGTCTCACTGAGTTGCTTAGGACCTTGCTAATTTGGCGGGCATGGGTGGGACTTGCTAATTTGCTGAGGCTTTCTTTGAACTCATGATCCTCCTGCCTCAGCCTCCCCAGCTGCTGGGATTTATAGGCATGTGCCACTGTGCCTGATTAGAACTGTTTTTTTGTTGCTGGATGCTGTGGTACATGCCTGTAATCCCAGCAGCTCAGGAGGCTGAGGCAGGAGGATTTCGAGTTCAAAGAAAGCCTCAGCAAATTAGCGAGGCCCTAAGCAATTTAGCAAGACTCTGTCTCAAAAATAAAAAGGGCTGKGGATGTGGCTCAGTGGTTAAGCGCCCCGGGTTCAATCCTTAGTACCAAAAAATTTTTAAAATAACAAGATTAAGCTCCACCTTCTCCTCTTGAAGCTCTGGTGGCCCTCGATAGGGTTTGACTGTGTCCCCCAAGTTCATGTGCTGGAAACCCAATCCCCCAAATCATGTGTTAATGAAATTTGGAAGCAGGCCCTTGGAAGGTCATTAGGATTGGGTGAGGTCATGAGGGTGGGGACCCTACCAGGGAACCAGCGAGTGGCTTTACCTGCCGTGTGGTGATCCTATGAGATGAGATGTGGGCACCATGGTCAGGGACTTTCCAGCGTAAACTTCTATTCTTGAGGAATTACCCGGCCTCAGATGCTTTGTTATAGCAGCAGAAAATGAGTGAAGACAGTCCACTGTGTATTATTTCTAGATGTTTGAAAAGAACTGGTTAGGCTGGGTTTAATTTCAGGGTCGAGGGATCAAAGTGGGTGTGTGGTGGGAGCCCCTAACATGAATGTCCCTCAGTGACATGGGATTAACCTGGTACCTGTCTGATGGTCCCAGGTGGACACCCAGCACACAAGTCCCGAGGCACCTGCAAATTGAAAACTACACACCTTGGAGGTGGGAGGTGGAAAAGCCTAGTCAACTGAACAGGCTTGAGCCCTGGGACCTGGGAGAGGGGTCAGCGAGTCCCTGATGCCTCTTTTTATCCTTGAAGCAAGCTGGAAGGTTGGCCTGCCCCTCCCCCACCCCACCCTCCCCTTCCTGCTTTTACATGAATATGAATGAATTGGGCCTCTACACCAGTGCCCAGGGGCTGTTCTGGAAGCTGGAGAGACAGCCTTGAACAAGACAGATAAAGTCCTGTCCCTGGAGAAGCCCAAGCTAGAAAAGAGAGACACACCACAGGCAGCATGAATAAGTTAAAGACACAGGGCAGGGATATGCGCTAACGCCACTGAGGAGGAGAAGTGGCACTGGACCTGAGCGGTGGGAAGAATGTCCATCCGAAGGGTGACGCTTTGCAGGAGGGAGTTGCTATTGGTTGTTGCTGTGTTCAATTTTCGAGATGCTGTATTTGAAAGGCCTTTTAAACATCGTCGTGGTGGTATCAGAAATTTGGAGAAGTCAGGCTGAGACAAATTTGGACACTGTAAGTATATAAATGATTTATTGATTTATTTACTTATTTTTGCCCAAGCCTCATAAACGGATGAGATTGTTTAGTCAGGTTCTAGGACTGATTGGTGCCTTTTCACAGAAAAGGGAATGAATAGATAGGTGCTATCATTGGCCCATTTACATTGCGGGTAAGTTGTTGAGCTAGGACTCAAATCTAAGTCAGACTGCTGCTGTGGAGTAAGGCAGGGGTGGGCCCAGACCTGTCACTCCACCTACAGAGGCTGTTTCCTTTCCTCATCTGTCAAAGGAGAGTGGCGGTTGATGAGCAGGTTGAAGGCAGGGATGGGCCAGGGGGGCTGGTGGAACTTAAGCAAGTGGCCAGGAAGCCAGCAAGCCATTCAGGGGTCACCAGAATGTCCAGGTATACCCACCTTTCCCCACCAGCTTCCGACACCTGCTCTGAGCAGAGCAGTCTTGGGGCACAGGGCAAGGGAGGCCTGGGGGAAATATCATTTTCAATGAGAAGAAACCTACCCCCAGCCTGGAATTCCAGGGTCAGCATGACCAGCCGGCACTCCCAGTGAGCAGTAGGATCCCAGAAAGCAAACCTCTGCCAGCTGGGCACTGAGTGAACCTGGTGTTTGGAGAAGGGAAACGAGAGGGGGCAGGGTGGTGGCACCTGGCTAGGTGGCTGAAGTGCCCCTGAGCACTGACCCAGCAAGGGAGACTGGAATTGGCTTTGTGGTCATAGCCACTGCCCTGGGAAGGGCACTGTTCTGGGGCCAGCCCCTGGCTGGGCTGTCACTCCTGGTCAGCCTCAGGGTGCTTCCGGAGCTGGCTGTGCCCTTCTGTCAACTCTGTCTTTCTTTGGAGTTGTTAATCCCTGTCAGTCTGGCCAGGCTGGGTGGGGGCCCCACCTCTGGGGTTCCGCTCTCCCACTGTGGGCATCCAGAGGCTCCACCGTGTAGATGCCAATGACTCCTGTTATGTGGGGCCTGGGCAGGTGCCTAGCCACCTATTTCCTGTCCCCCTTCCTCCCCTGCCAGCTGGCAGGAGGAGGCTCCAGCTGGCCTCTGGCACTACTGGGAAATCCAATCTCCAGTCTCTCCCAGGAGGGCAGCTCCTGGCTGTGCCCACTGCCCAGCTCAACCCTGGCCTCCCTGGTTAGGACCCTCAAAGGGCCCAAGGCTTTAACATGGCTCCACCAACATCCTGAGGCCAGTTCAGCTCAGCCAAGACTCCCAGCTCTCAGGGACTCAGCGGAGGCTGAAAGAGCAACTGGCAATGGAGGGGCGGGAGGAGGGATGGCCCAGAACTGCAGGATGAGGAGGTTGTGCTGGGTCGGTCATCTGCAGGGTGGCCCAACTGCTCTCTGGCAAAGCAATGCTTGGCCTGGATTCATCAGGGATTCGGCGGAGGTGCCAGTGAGTCTGGGGGCTTTACAGAGCTGGCGGTTTGGGTCAGTCTGAAGGGTGTGTGCACTGCTGTGTTGGGGTGGGCCCTGGAAAGCTTGGACAGGCTTGATAAGGCTGCAAAGGTGTGGTTGGACGTGGGGCCAAGACACTGGCAGGTAGACAAAGGACCACCAGCACCCAGTGGAGGCAGGTGGTATCTCTCATGTGCACTCCACCTTGCCAGGCAGTGGTGGGGGTGGCAGGGAGCCTCATTGTCTCTAGGATACCAGCTGAGTATGTGGAGCCAAGTTCTAAGAAAGTCTTGGAAAAGTTTAATGATAATCCAGAAACTACTGAGACCAAAGCCATCATTTATCAGCTGTGTCTGCAGAGAGACACATGGCAAGACGGACTCCAGTGCCACAGTGACCAACAGCTTTTAGGGTGGAAGAGCAGGAAGCACACTGCCACAGGCCTGAGGCAGGGCAGGCTCTGCCCCTACTCTACCCCATGGCTGAGGGAGGAACATAATCTAGGCCTGGCTTCTCCTGTTAGCCTGTGCCTTCAGCAGGTCACTGTGCCACAGTTTCCCATAGGTGGATGGGGTAACAAGCATCATGTCTGCCACCCAAGATCAAGGAGGAGGGAAACCAGGGTTAATCCAGCTGGACTGTACGGCTGCCTCGTGGAGGCCACCGAGACACTCCATTGACTGGTCCTTTACGGAGTGCCCACTGTGCCAGGCCTAGGGGTTGGGGGAGGGGCGTGCAGGGAAACCATGGCAGGCTGGGGTTCTTCCTGGAACTGTCTCAAGTCACCCACCCCATCCTCCTCCTCCTCAGGGCGGGAACTGCAGCCCTTTTCCCTGCCGCTCTTTGTGCTCATCTAGCCCCTGGGTCACACATCTCCTTACGGGCGCTTTCCGTAACACACTCCAACCCACCCTTCAGGTCTCCAGTCCGCATGCCTCTGGCAACTTCAACTTCTGGCCCTTAAAGCATGCTCTCGAAGTTATTTGACGTTTGCATATTTTTCATCAAGATCTCCCGCTCAAGCCCTGACTACTTGTCCTGAGGCCACCTAACCACTCAGTGCCTCAATTTCCCTGTGTGTAAAATGGGAAGGACAACACTCCCCACCCCTGCGGTGGTTCTAAGGAGATCGTGCATCGGAGCCTGGGCAACCGCGCCCGTGAGGTCCGAATACTCGCCACCCTCCTTATTGTTATTTTGTACCCTTTATTATCTGACTGCAAGATCCAAGGGGCGGGGCTTCGCCCTAGCCCGGTGCGGCGCTAGATACTCGGTGTCTTCGGGCACCGCCTGAGCTCCTGCAGGACCCCAACGCCCTCCTGGTGCTCATCGACTCCCAGAAGGGCAAGGGGAGGAAATGCCATGGAGTCGCGGAAAGGCTGGCACCCAGTAGGTGCTCAAGAAACGGCCCGCTGACAGCGCCGAGCGGCCCGACCAATGCCCGCTCCCTCCCTCCTCCCGTGTTGTAATGCTCGGGCTGCCCACATGGTCTTTAAGGGTGTATCTGCTCCCAGCGACACCCATTCCCACAACAAAGAAACTCGCCATCCCGGGGCCGCCTCCCCTCAGCGCACCCAGGCGGCGAAGCGGCGAGGAGCGTCCCCGGCCTCCGGGCTGCCCCTCAGTCCCGGCTCGGGAGCTGTCCCTGGTAGGTGCAGGTGCGCGAGGGCCAGGGGCGGGCGAGGGGCCCCGCGGGGCGGCTCGGGCCCCGGCGCTCGCGAGCTAGGTGGCGCCCGCGGGCGCGCAGCGACGCCGCCTCCGCCGCGATTTAAAGGGCAGCAGGCGGAGGGATTCCCGTGCGCCACGCTCGGCCCGATTCCTCCGCCGCGAGGCGCAGTGACGGCAACGACGCGGCCCGTTCGCTCGGAAACCTCTCCGGTGCTTCCGCCGCCGGGAGCTGCCGGCGAGGAACTCGTTTCCCTCGGGAGCCCTCCGCCTCCCCCTAAGGGCCCGTGGCAAAGATTCCGCGTCGGACAGGGACGCGCACGCTCGAGGGGCCGCACTGGAGTGGTGTCCCTCCGCCGTCGCCGCGGACTCCTTTTTGTGTCCTTCCACCGGGCCCGGGCGGTGTCCGGGTGGCTCACCGGGGGCGGCGGCGCGGCTGCGGCGCGGCTCCGGGGCTATGAGGTGAGGACGCCCGGTCGCTGGAGGCGGCACCGCGCGGCGCGAGGACGCGGAACCCCGAAGCCGGCGGATGCCTTTCGGAGCCGGCGGCCGCGCGCGAGGCTGAGGTGAGGCTGGGGCGGCGGGCCGGGGGCGGGGGCGGTGGGCCGGGGCCCGGGCCGGCTCGGCGGCGGCGGCGGCGGCCGGGTGGGGGCGGGGGCTCGGCCGCAGGACTCCTTTTTCCCTCAGCGGAGGGAGCGGGCGGTGCTGCGTCCGCGCCGCCATCTTGGATTTTACTCTCCATTTTTCTCTGGAATTATTTTTTGGTGATTAATTTTCTGAGGGGACGGGCGAGGGCGACCGGGCAGCGTGAGCCCGCGTCGCGGCGGCCGGGCAGAGGGGCCTCGACGCGCCTGAGCAGGAGGCGGGCCGGCCGGCGGTGAGCGGGGCGGGCGGCCTGGCGGGGGCGTGCGGGGCCGCGGCGGCCGAGCGGGCTCCGGGACGCCGGGCCGGGGCGGCCGCGGGCGGGGCGGGCGGCGGGCGGCCTGCAGTGGTGGCCGCGGCCGGAAGGGAGCGGTAGCGGCCGCCGGGCCGCGTCGGGCCGGGCCGCGGCCGCTCGAGGGGGGCAGCCCGCCGCTCGCGATTGGGGGACTCTGCCTTCCCTCTTCGCCAATGGGCGGCCGTGATCGGGCTCGCCCAATCTGCTCCCCGGCCGCGCTCAACTTTCGGTTGTTTTTGTTTTGGCTCGAGCCGCGCTCGAGTGTCCTCGGAGCGCGTCCGGCGTCCGGGCCGGCGTCCCCGCGCCGCGCCCTCCCCTTTGTGCGGCCCCGGCCCCGGCCCCGGCCCCGGCCCGCGCCGAGGATGCGCCGGGCCCCCGCCCGGGCGGCGCGGCGAGCGGGCTCCAGCGGGCGCCGCGACCCCTCTGCGGGACCCGGGGCGCCGGGGCCGCCACCCCGCAGCGGCGGGACGGGGACGGGGGCGCGCCCTCGGAAGTCGCCTTCTCGCCGAAGGAGAAGTTGTGTGGCGCCGCGGGCGGACGCGCTGGTTGATGGGCTGGGATTCTCTTCACCTGGACCCCTTCGACGTCAGCCTGGCCTGTGGGGCCGGCTGGGCGGCATCCTCGCCGAAATTGCCGGCTGTGACTTTTCCCCTTTCAGCCTTGGGTACTTATTGAGAGCACGCCTGTGATTTTTGGTAATTAGTAGTAGAAACGTAGATCATTTCAAAAGGGAGGAGGAGGTCGTTTCGCCCGGAGCCTCGCGGACGGCTTGAGCGTGTCCAAGTGCACGCTGGCAGAGTCGCCTGCTGGACGCGCACCTCCCGGGTAGCCCAAGGTGTGGCCCGCCCCTGCTGGAGCTCCCTGGATTCTAAGGTGAAAGTCCAAGAAGCATTAATCTCGCAGTGTGGGAACTCCAGCCTACTTTTGGGTTCTAATCTCTCCACATTCTACTTTCTGCTCCCTCTCCCAAGCTCCAGGGACACTAGTTTCCCCGCTCCTGATGCCTTTTGGCCATGTCCTGCCAGGCATTCCTGTGCCCCTGCCCTGTCCCATCAGTGTACGCCCACCCTTCAGAAAGGCTCCCAGAGAATATTGCCTGCTGGTGGCTCCTTTTCTCAAACACACACATTCAGAGGCTGACCCACCTGGGAGAAGGTGTGCTTCCTCTGTGCTCCCTGAGCAGTTGTTACATTATATTATAGTGACTTGTTTATTTGCCCATATCCTCAGCACTCCTGTGAGCTTGTTGTGTGAGTTGTCTTCTCTGCTCAGAGACAGGCGCAGAGTAGATGCTCAGTAGACACTTGATGAATGTGATAATTGTTAATCTCCAGGTTGCCAAGTTTAATAATTTGTATTTGGTTTTTCAAACTAGGTGCATTTGAATGTTATTTTAAAACATTGTTATTGGCAGGTGGTGGCTCATACCTGTAATTCCAGCTACTCTGGAAACTGAAATGGGAGGATCACCAGTGTGAGGCCAGCCTAGGCAATTTATCCAGACCCTGTCTCAAACTAGCAACAAAATGTACACATATATATGTGTATATACATTTGCATCTCTGTTTAAACATTGTTATTTTTCTAAAGCAACTTAGTTTGAGAGTGAAAGGAATATTAGAGACTTCAAGAGGGGAGGAGTCCTGCTCCATTCTTTGCCCATAGTCTTTGAAACCAAACTCTTTCAAAATCATTTCCAAGGGTCCTTTCTCCTCTCTCCCAAGTGCACTCTTGCCTGTATTTTCCTGTGCCTCTTGGACACGCTGGACTGCTCTGCTCTGAACTCTCTGTGCTCCCAGCACCAGTGGACCATACTCAGGGTGGGGGGTGGGGGGATGGCGTAGCAGAATAGCTTGTTTGGGGGGGGGGGTCTTTGGAAAGGATGTGTCCTGGGTGTGTGTGTTGTGATGCAGAAGGAGTTTGTGGCTGGGGGATGTTGGTTTGTTAGTTTTTCCCTTGTGTCCTATAAATCTAGGCTTGAATCTGATACTCCTTTACATGAGTACCAATTTGTGGATTTATAGGGCCTGAGTATGTGGCTGGGTTGTGTGACAGATTTGTATATGTGGTATCTGAGCAGCTCCCTGTCCCCAGGAATGCCTTCCCATGGCTTACAGAGCAAATCCTTTCAGATAAATCACTGTGATTCCATTATTTTGTGCTTTTGTGTACTATTATATGAACTTTACTTGCTCTCTGTTCAGCAGAATCCTTCTCCTTTGTGTGCTGGAGTTAGGACTCTTGTCAGTCCTGGAACACTGTAATAGGCTTCCACAGACTGTCCCATCCCCACCCTCCAGTACCCAGGTGCTCTACCACTGAGCTCCTTCCTCAGCCCTTTTTATTTTGAAACAGGGTCTAAGTTGCTGAGACTGGCCTCAAATTTGTGATCCTCCTGGCTCAGCCTCCTGAGCTGGGATTACAGGCAGTCCCCTCCACCCAAGCCTTCCACAGACTTTTAAAAGCAAGGGACCATGTGACTTTCCTCCCTTAGGTCACACTGTTGGTTACATGGTATAAAGTAAATGCATAGAGATCCATTGTGTTTTTGCATGGGGTGGTTGTATCTTAAGTAGAGCTAGCTTTGTACAGTAGAGATTGGTTTTGGGGGGAAGGTATAGCTAATTTTTCAGCCTGATTTTTAGTTACTTAAAAAAAACTTATTCTACTGCCATGTCAGGGTGTGGAAGTTATTTTGATTGCTAAAAGAAGTACAAATCAAAATGATTGCAAGATAAAACTTATCTTTAGCTTATGGATAAAATGCAAATGATTTGGAGAATAATTTATTTCTTGAGTAGACTGTCAGCTTTGAAACCAAGCATTTACTTTGTGTTTGAGCCTCTTTCGTTTGAAATGTGAATTAAAACTCTACAGTTTTAGTGGTAGAGTTCAGTGGAATGTTGTACAAAGAAGGATTCCTAGTTGGGAAGTAAGAAACTTAATTGGGGAAAACTTTAACAGCTTCTTTTGAATTCTTTCTTCCAATTCTGAATCCCCTCTCCAAAACAAAGCCACCCAAAAACTTTACAAATACATTTTTACTTTAGTTCTTCCTGTAATTTCTTCCTATCCCCCATAATTTGATGTTTCCTTGAAGATCAGAAGTGTCAACTGAGAGCACAGGTCCTGCCTGATCGGTATCTAACCCTGTATTTATCTGTTAGTATGATCTGAATTTCACTTTGTCCTAGTCAATGAAGGCACTTTTTCACTTAAAAACATCTTGTCTTACTCAAAAGACATGTTCCCAATTTTTAGTCATGCATGTCTTATTTTAAGTGCATTACAGGGTTTGACTATTTTAAAGGCGTGCTATAGAGAGAATCCATCTGTACAGTAAAGACTCACCCGGTTTATTTTTGTAAATTCATGTTAACTTCCAGTGATAGTTTTTTTTTTTTTCCCTTTTTAGACTTTTTGTTTTTTGATTCTCTTGTTCAGAGTCAGTAAGTTAGAGAAGATATATTATCATTTGTGTAGTTAATTGGTAATGAAAGCAGAAACCATTTGTGTCCTAGTATTAACCTTCATTATTTCTAAAGTATTCTCACAGAAGGACAAAAAACTCACTGGTGTCCACAGTTATTGATCCTCTAAATTAGGTTTTGCTTCACCATTTTCCTTGCATGGTGTCAAATCATGGAAAGACCACGAAAAAAACAGTTTGGTTTCTTAACTGTTTCTGGCCTCAGGCCACTTGAGTTGGGGCTAGTGAGTGTCTAGCTGAGACATTTGAACACCATGCAGTCCTCTAGGGCTGTATATAGAATTTTGACTATAATTTGAGGGGTAGTTGAAGGATTTGGGCATAAGAATCAATACCTCTATTCCAGTCTCTGCTCTGTTTACTGTTAATGTAAGACATTTATAGGGCCAAGTCTCAGTTTTTATAAAATGACCAAACATTAGTCTCTGGTCCTTTCTATCCTAAGTTATACTTCCATCTTTTCACCACCCCATTTTCTCTTAACTATTTCACTCATATTTCGACACTTATGTAGTTTTACCTCCTTTTTTTGAATGTCATTAAATTGATGAGATACTTTTACAACCAGTTGAGTTTTAGAATTGAGAAACTATCCTTAAGCCCTGTATGGCACCTACTTGCCACTTGCATCTCTTGAGTCTCTGTGTATAGCACAGTAAGAAGAAAATAGATAAATCTAGGGAGCATTTGCCAGTGACGAACCTCTCAAGTTTTGGAGTAAACCCCAAACTCCAGTTTAAACACAAGGGTTAAACTTGGCCTTAACACAATAGCAATTTGACGTCAGGAAAGCATTTCGCTTTTGAGCTTTAGCCTTCTCATTTGTGGCGATAATACTTGTCTTGCACGTTAGTGGGGAACAGTATAATACCTGATTTCCATGTCGGGGTGCCTGCATTCTAACTCGTGTCATCTTTATAGGACACCTGGCTGGCAGATCGCTAAGGGCAGAGGGATTGCCTCTCAGGCTTTACATAAAAGTCCCCTTACTGAATGGTCATTCTGCCTTCTACCCTGCACCCTCTGTGCTGTTCTTCAGATGTTCTTTTTGTGTGTGCTTCCCTTGCATCTTGGTCCCCAGTCACGTTCTGCCCAATTTTTCTGAAAGCAGAAGCTCTCGCGCGCCCTCTTGTGTTCCC